GCATGCGCAAGCATAAGGGGGAGGGAGTTAGACGAGAGGGGGAGGGAGAGGAGGAGCTGGGAATGGGGAAAGAGGGGAAGGAACAGGGAGCGCGTGTGCAATGACTTGCTGATTCTGCAGCCTGCAACCCGTCGACCCGAGGCTGTAACATAGATAGGATAGATTCGCTATTTTGTTTGCCTGAGGGCTAACCGAGAGATCTGCCTGTGGGAAAATTCGTGAGGGACATATCTGTAAATTTGGGGAAATTGCAGGGGCCCGTACTAACCTGAATTTCCTACAGTTACCCTAACTGCGAATAGCAGACCCGGGCTACCACTAGGACAGGAGGGCCTATGGGCCTATAATGCTAGACGGTCCTATAGCCTGTAGCCGGGTAGGGAGAGGCCCTGGAGGCCGAACTGAATCGATACCGGTGAGTCCAGTCAGTCCGGTCTACGTCGTGTCTATGCTAGGGTAGACTATGAATGGGTGCGTGGAAAAACTGTTCAGGGCTTTTGGCAGTTGGTATCGTGGCTGCGGCACGCATGAACTGGTGGTGGTACAGCTTCATCGTTGGTTGAGACAGACATAGCCGGACCTTCGAAGCGTCGGCCATAGCTGGGACCTGTGCTGTTCTCTGACAACACGTGGGGCTGTACAGAGGTCCGGGCTATCTGAGGTCTGCTGGAGGCAAGAGAAGTTGGTGCCCTGCTGAACCCTCCTCAGGAGTAGGGTGTCAGGGTGTGTGGCACTGCAGCCATAGCTGCAGCTTTCATCCTCAGAGATCATCTTTGTCAGGAGAGCTGGCGCTGCTACAGATTTCAATCCAGGAAGTCTTCTGGCACTTCATCATCATCAGAGACTGCGGCGCTGGTCTTCTTCTTCTTCCTCTGAGAGGCGCTTGGCCTCAGAGGCCTGTTTCTGGGTGGCGCTTCCCTCTGGAGGCAGTATCTGGGTGGCGCTGGTTGTTTCAGGGGTTCAGGGGTAGTGATATCGGTTACTCAGGGTTGGGGAAAGAAGCACTGCTTATTTCTGAGCAGCACATCACAGTTGTGGGGTTATTTTGACAAATCGAGACTCTTCTGAGTTTAATAAACAGTGTGGGTACTGTGTCTGAACTATCTTTGCTTTATTGTTTTCTGGATGTGATCTACTCGGCTTTTCTTTGTGACTGGTTGTGAGGATTCTGTGGAGTGAATTGCACTTTCAGTGTACCCTGTCATATCGCATGGTCAAGTCTTCCGCTGTGTTTTTATCTCCCTGTGCGGTGTGATACTCCCATCCTCCCCCCTTCCTTCTGTGTATGTATGGGCATACATGGAAGTCTTTGTGAGCGAGTGTTGGTCATCTGACAACAAGCAACCTAACAATTGGTATCAGAGCGATTGGATCCAGTCAGTGGAGTAATTGATGAGTTGGAGCAACTACCATCATCTGGCCGGACACTGGAGTTGAACTTCATGGCGATTTATCATCTTCTGTGTTGGCAACAGTGAGGGTGGTGGTGGTAAGTGTGTGGCGAGAGGTTTTGGACAGAGGGTGATTCACTCCTGCTCAGGGTTGTACAGGAGTGAGTGGCAATTGGTGCTCAGGGAGAGAGAGAGAGAGAGGGAAAGGGAGAGAGAGGGAAAGGGAGAGAGAGGGAAAGGGAGAGGGGGGATAAGGAGGGGCAGGGAGCGCCGAGGGAGAGGACTTGAAGGGCAGTTTGAAGTGGAAACCTTACACTTCGATCGAGGGGAGAGTGAAAACCTCTCTCATACTCTGAGCCAGGCAAACCAGGAAGCACCACCCCTTGAGCTCCCGAGGTGGAAGCCTCTCCGACTCCAACAACGCCGGGAAGCTCCCGAAGGCGTTCCTGTTTAACAACGCAAGTACAGATCCACAGAAACAATTCAGTGTTTTTTTTATTTTTTATTTTTTTCAACACAATCAATTTCATTTCAAATCAGTACTTGAATCAATCGAGGCCCGGGACCTCACAATTCAACCCGAAGGAAGTGTATATGTGTTTTTCACTAATCAGTCCTTGAATCAATAGGCGGAAGAAAATGAGAAAATGGCGTTATGAGTCACGGAAACAACAAGGAAGGAAGACAAGAAAAAATGAAAAATGCTACGTTAGATGATGTGCGTGTAACCCCTGTCTCTTATACACATCTAGATGTGTATAAGAGACAGGTGCTGTACCGCAGATTGGCCCCGCAGATCGGTC